GGATTATTCCCAAAAAATTATACGTGTTTTGGAAATGTTGAGTCAAATTAGTCTAGAATTGATTAATTTTATGGAAGAAAACCTTTCAAACAGCCGTAGTCTATAAACTGCACATGTGTCAGGCTGTGATTGGCTCATGTATTTAAGGATTCCTACAACGTGAAATTCTTATAAAGCAGAACATATCTACCGCATTATAGGGACGTCGACTGTATATAAAAATTTTTATCTATTAAATTTTATAATTATATCAAATAATATATGGACTATTAATATTTTGATCTTTAAATTATAATAATTTTGACAGTTCATAGCAGTTTTAAATGATAGCTCACTTTTAATATCCATTCGTACTCTCCATATTTAGAATCAAATGTTCCTTTTTGTAGAGAGCGTAACTTCAACGTAAATCTTGGACCAATTTCTTGCAAAGCAACTTTCTTCCCTCCTTTGAATTCATATCTAAAAATATATTAGAAATTATAAATGAAAAAATTGTTCTAAAAGTGTATTCTTAATTGAAATATGATAAATTTATCATAATTATTATAAATTACAATAAATGAGTTGATCTAAAATATTTTATATATTTATATAGATACGTATAATATATGTAACTATTATATACAGTTTATACTGCAAATTCATTAATAAATTTTTGAATTTATTAATGAATTTGCAGTATAAAGAATTGTAAAGAAGATATTGTTTGTTCATACTATAATTCATTTTTAACACTGTCATAAATTTATAATCATAATTTATATGGATATACTGTTTTAAATTAAGTTTTGAAATAATACTCTATACCAGAGCTTCTTAAACTTTTTTTATTCACGACCCCATTTATGATTATTTTATATTTTTTGGGTCGCAAAAAAATCACAAAGATATATACAAATTTGCAAAAACAATAATGGTGTACTATCACAGTTCACTCTTGTGTTACAATGGAACAGAGACATCTGAATACACTGAAAAGCGACAACACTACACTAGTTCACACTATAATCAGTGTTGCTGAATCATTGTCTCGCTGCACCAGAAGTGACACAAAGCACAACTCACAAAACCTATGACACAAAGCATGCCATTTTCAAACTCTCACAAATTATTTTCAATATTTTGCATTAAAATCTCAAGACTCCATTTGGGGTCGTGACCCATAGTTTAAGAAGCCCTGCTCTATACATATACTTATATATACATTATATATTTGATACATATGTGTCATCCAAAGAGGGAAGTGGAAAAAACAAACAGAATAATTAGAAATACTAATAAATAAATAATTATATTTTTTTCGATGTAGAAATCGGAGATCAAAAGGTCAAATGGGGAAAGGATGACAAAACCCACACACTTCCTATTTCATCCAATTTTGAAATAGATAAAGCCTATCAGATGATCATACAAAGTAACAATTATTACTAAGGTTGCAAGACAAACTCTGACTTTAGTCACCTCCAGCAATTAATTCAGTTTGTTTGACAGCTGTTATCAAATTTATGAGGTAGAATGAGTAATCATAATGGATAGAAAGAGGTAATAAATTTATCGAAATGTTTGATTTCTGACAATTAACATAAACAATACCCGGACACAAATCAAACTGAGAATGGGTTACATCATACATAGCATTAGTCAGCTCTCCCAAAAACGGGTATAAAAAGGGCTTGGACAGTCCTCCGGGCACGGACATCATCAGTGGACACCAGATTCGTCCTGCCATCCTTGCAATATTTCATAAAGGAAGACTACTGGTCAACTCCACCGATCCAGGAGCATTTTACTGACGTCCTATACAATGAGATCAGGAACCATCAGTCTAAAAGGTATATTATCTGTAGAATTATAAACTATCTCTCTCGGTTCTTTAGTTAAGTAGTTCTTTAGCTATAAGTAGCGGTAATCTATCCTTTGTATCTAAACTTAGAAACTTAATGTATATTAAATTTTATTTGTTGAACCTGTGTCACTCTGTCTAATTATTCGGACACCTATCGACTTACTCACACCTCCCCACTTGATTTAAAGCCCTCTCAAAAGTCATCCTCAGAAAAGAGAACAGGCTTTTCCAGCCCTTGCTGATTAAGTAGCATTTCGGGAACAGCCCGTGCCCCCAGTTATCTTACACATACCACATTTCCTTAACTACGAGATTCAATTTTTTATCCATTTTTGTTTGCTCAAAATAGACATACATCCTTAGAATTAATAGTGTCTTACATTCACAGACCAAAACAATTAAGATTGTGAGCAGACCACATGATGCATTATGTGCCGCATATTTTTGATACATAATGCACCAATTATTATATTGATAAAATTGATCAAATTTAGATTTAATTTGATAGCTTCAATTTTAAGAACTATTACAAAACTTTTGATAACTGATGACTTTAATTTCCATAGTTTCAAAATACTCAATACTTAAAAAAAATATTAAATAAATTTGAATATGTATTAGTGTTGTAACGAATAGTATATTCGGCCTCAGGCCGAATACCGAATATTCGGCCATGAGCATGGCCGAATAGCCAAATATTCGGCCAAACTATTCGGCTTGATTAACGCACGTACGAAAATTGGCGCGCAAACCGCATTATGGCAAGGATCTTGCTCTCTATTGGCCCGCTGTCACTATGCTTCGCCAATCGCGTTAATTCTTGGCAGTTGTAGCGGACAGACAAGAGTGTCGTGGAAGTATGTGATAAATGATGATATCAAATGTGGATAACAATGAAATGATCTATACGTGTAAATAACGGAAAAAGAACAGAGAAGGACCATGAAGTGAAAATGTGAAAATAAATATGAAATTCAGTTGATAACATAATCGAACGAGTCAAGGCAGCTTATTGGCACGAAATTCGCGGCTGTCAATGCCAAACAATTGTTGTCATAGACTTCGGAAAGCTAAATGCTTGTAATGAAAGTCACTTAGCGTGCACGGGCGAAAGCCTGGGGCCGTTCGGGCTATCAAGCTGTCTCGAATCTGTGAAATCATAACTGTGACTTATATCGACGTCCTATCTGTCTCTTTTCTCCGTTATCACCAGGCTGAGTCACGTAATTGTAAAATGGGAACTCTACGACGGAAAAGTGACGAATCGAAAGTATCGTGAGCGCGTATTATGATGTATGCACAGGCATACATGGATTAGAGCGATAGAGGAAAGAGAAAGGGAAGAGCAAAGACGAGCGCTTAAAAAGAAGGATAGGCAGGGTCAGACCCTCAGATGTGCGAGGATTCTCCAACGATAGACGTGTACGTGTGCTGATCTTTGTAATTATAAATTGTGAATACATGTGACTAATATTATTTTCTTTTTTATTTTGTGCATGTTACAAGTTATAAATAAATATAAACAAACAACACTAACTCGATAACATTAAATCTAAATACCAAAATGATTAATTTACTGTGTTTTTGTTATTTTTTACTCCTGTTTTTAGGTATTCGGTATTCGGCCGAATAGTGAAAAATAGGCCGAATACCGAATAGTAACCGAATATTCGTTACATCACTAATATGTATCCTTTATAAAACTCAAATATAAAATCTAAATGGATTTATACCAAGAAAATTTTATTATATTTTTATACTGATTTATACAGGGTGGACCAAAAAGAATATACGTATTTCAAACTGATATATTTAATAAACTGTAAGACATACAACTATGGAACTTGGGACACATATTTATGAAACTCTCTAGTTAAGATTACAGGTGTTCAATATGTCCTCCACCAGCAACACGAACAATATCACACCAATACTCAAATTCCTGCCATACTCGACTAAGCATGTCCGGTGTCACTGATGTAATGGCAATACGGATCCAGTTCTTCAACTCATCGAGGTTCTGTGGTAGTAGAGGAACATAGACGGTTTCCTTGATGAAACCCCACAGGAAGAAATCACACGGCATCAAATCCGGTGACCGTGGAGGCCAGCTGAAAAGTGCTAAATCGTCAGCTCCTTGATGTCTAATCCAACGGTTCGGAAGAGTTTCATTCAGAAACTGACGAACTTGACGACTCCAGTGAGGGGATGCCCCGTCTTGTTGAAAAATGAGGTTGTCCTTGTTCAGCCTCGGAAACAACCAGTTTTGCAACATATGAAGATACTGCAGACCGTTAACCGTGTTTCCATCAAAGAAAAAAGGGCCATAAACAGATGAGCAGGATATAGCACAAAACACATTCACTTTAGGTGAATCTCGAAAATGTTCGTTTTGCGCATGTGGGTTCTGTAGGCCCCAAATTCTAACATTCTGTTTGTTCACCTTCCCACTAAGGTGAAAACATGCTTCATCACTGAACACGATCCGTTCTGAGAAATTGTTATCGTTGTCAATAACATCCTGAATCTGGCCACTAAATTCCACACGTTTATGTTTGTCATCATTATTCAGAGCCTGTAACAGCTGTAACTTGTACGGCTTCATAACTAACCTGCGTCTCAAAACACGCCAAACTGTTGTTTTAGGCAGCTGCAATTCCCGACTGGCACGACGTGTTGATTTTGAAGGGCTACGTTGGTAAGCAGCTTGAATCCGTGCGACATTTTCTTCAGATACACGAGGTCGGCCAGGACTCTTTCCTTTACATACACAACCTGTGTCAACAAACTGACGGTACCATCTGCGAATGTTCCATCCATTCGGAGGATCAATTTCGTACCTCAACCGGAAACGTCTTTGCACTGTAATCACGGAATTACACTTCGCAAGCTCAAGAATACAAAAGCTTTTGTGCTGTGGCGTAGCCATTTTACAACAACTGTGAATACGTCATTGTAACCAAGCACAACTGACATCTGGGGACAAACTAGACAATGCACTCGTTCCTCCGATACCCGCAGCACACCGCTACTATCGATAGTTTA